TTGGGTGTAAATCAGTAGGCCTGGGTTTGTCATACAAAATTTATTGTATGGTCAATCGGACATTTAAGTCCTATTCAAGTCGACTGAATGGATTTAAAATTGGCTGTTCTTTATTTCGATGTGCTTTTATTTTCGTGGACTTCCTTGATTTAACAACTTATCAGTTGTCAGTTTCAGTTTGAAAAGGACAGGAGGCTTGATGGCCTGTGTTAGTCCTGGCAATGGTGGTCTCTCAGTCGGTTCAACTTTCCTTTGAAAGAGTCGATGGATGGAGCCTCAACCACGTGCTGAGGTAATGAATTCCACTCGTTGATGATTCGATGGGAAAGTCAATAGTCAACTGGCAAGTAATTTGTCCTGGGCTTGTGAACTTTTTTGGAGTGTCCTCGTAAATTCTCTGTTTCGGAAGACAAAAAAATGAGGGTATATCAGGTGCAAATTTATCACTAAGCAGTTTGAAAACTGTAATCAAGTCGCCTCTTGTTCTACGATATGACAACGGGAATAGGTTTGGCTTGGTCAGTCGAACATCACACGAGAGCTTCGCTATTCTGGGAATCAGCTTAGTTGTTGTTCTTTGAACCTTTTCCAAAAGCCCACTGTCTTTTTTTAAACAGAGGCTAGCCACGTGTATATAATGCTCAAGTTTAGGACGTACGAACACTGTATACAAAGTCAAAAAACGTTTTAGCGTCGACATGACTAGAAGCCCTACGTATTGACCATAAGGTTGTAAACGCTTTGGCGGCTATTGCACTGCAGTGTGCAGTAGTCTTTATGTCTTGGCTAACGATGACTCGTAAGTCATTATGTGTCTGGACGACAGGTAGCTCAGTGTTATTCATCGTGTATGTATCTGTACCTTGATGACCGATAGGCATCACAACACACTTGGAAGTATTTATCGGTAACTGCCAGGTTTGAGACCATTCAGATAATTTATTCAGGTCATTTTGGATTTCTAAGCTGTCATCTTTACATCGTATCGTTCTCCACATCTTGACATCATCAGCATATAGCAAGACCGATAATGATATTAGGCGAGGAAGGTCATTTACATACAAGAGGAATAGCACTGGTCTCAAAACTGTACCCTGGGGCACTCCACTGAGCACAGTTTTCCAGCTAGATAACTTTGAATCCACCCGTACTCTTTGTTTGCGCCCAACTAGGAAGTCTTTGATTCACATCAGTAGATTACCTCCAATTCCGACATTTCTTAGCTTATATAATAGCCGGTTTTGCGGAACTTTGTCAAAAGCTTTGATGGAATCAATGTAGGTTACGTCTACAAGTAACTTTTGGTCTTTAAGAGCGCACCAGCTTTCACGAGCGACTAATAAGTTAGTGAGACAAGAATAACCTATTCTGAAACCGTACTGACTCTCCGAAAGGATCCGTTTTTCATTGAGGTACTTAAGCAGCTCCCTCTGAATAATCTTTTTCTAAGATTTTAACAACCACATTAGTTAGGCTAACGAGTTGGTAATTCTCGGGTTTATGTTTTGAAGACAGGACTTACTATGACGTTCTTCTAGTCTTTTGGTAAACGACGCTGCGTTACGGATAGATTAAAGCATATGCTTAAAGGGTTCGCAACAAGGCCAGATAATTCCTTCATTAGCCTAGGATGCAATTCATCAGGCCCCGTGGATTTACTTATGTCAAGCTTGTTTAGCAGACCAAAGACATCGAGTTCTTTATTGGTCACGCTATCCAGTGTATGTGTGGGGGATTTGTATGGACTGACGGGAAGGGTGCTTCTATGGTATATAGATTGCTAAAGTAGTTCGAGAACACTTGAGCCTCACCAAAATCGTCCTCCACTTATGATGCGGTAGTACTGTCTCCCCATATTGCAGAAATATTTCCTGTTGTTTTCCTTTGGTTTACTGAGGAATACAAGCGTTTAGGACATTCTATGGATTCCTTAACAATTTTTTCTCCGTACAACTTTCTAGACTTACGGAGGGTCGAGGCACAGGTATTCCGAGCTTTTCGATACTGAGATTTTGTCTCATCAGCCCCCAGTAACTTGAATCTAACCCACACTTTTCTTCTCTTACGGAGAAAGATGTGGACCTCCCTACTGAACCATGGTGGAGAGTTTCTCGGCCCCCTTGGTGTAGTCCAAGAGGTGTGGGGAGCGATAACTCTTAAGTATGAATTTCGAAGTGCATCCCAAGCTGCTTCAATTGAGGACTCTGGGTCTATTGCCCAATCTACTAACGATGCTGAGTGCATCACACCTGATATATTTTCTTCTCAGACGTTAGGTCTGGATTGAGCTAACGCGTGCTCGTGATTGACAGCTATATGGAAGTCGAAAGTAAAAACTGCGTGATCACTTTTACCTAGTGGTGGCATGTAATGGAGGTTCGCAACGCCATCCTCATAGTGAGTCAATATAAGATCTAGGAAGGATGATTCAGTATCCGGGTCGTACCTAGTCGCTTCTTTCACATGTTGCACTATGGCAAATGTGATAACCGCATCAACTAGTCCCTGCTTGAAGGAATTTTCTGGCGATTCAGTTCGCAGATTTTCCCAGTCTACCATAGGTGCATTAAAGTCCCCTAGGATTAGACATCGACCACTTTGTGACCAAGTATTGAGACTGCTCAGCAGGATCTCATTTACCTCACAGCTTGGACTGCGATAAACCAAACCAATCAGCAGCTCTTCTCCCTTGCATTTCAAGCGGCAACTAACTAATTCACACGTCCCACCCTCATGGGATACACTGTCGATAATGGCAAATGGGATAGCATTCCTAATGAATAGAGCTACTCCCCCTCCTTTACGTTTTTGTATTCTGTCGGCCCTTACTAACGCAAAACTCTCGAAATCAAGTTCCATACTATCTATAGACTGTGTCAGCCAGGTTTCTGTGACTGCGATTATGTCTGGCTTTGTAGAGTCAATCTGTACACCTAGTTCCGATCGCTTATTGAGTAGGCTTCGGGCATTAGTGTAACAGATCCGAAGTCTATTTAAGTGGCTTCGTGCTTCACCCATAGTGGCTTCGGCATCATTCTCTGTAGAAGCCTTACAGCCCGAAAATTTACAATTTTTAGGTCCTTTTTGCCAGCGTCTAACCAAAGTTATAGTTCTCTTTCGGCTTCCTGTCTTTTTACACGGTGATGAGTACGAAACTTAAATTGCTCAAACATAATTACGCTAAAAAGGCGTTAATACTAACTACGCACTGATCGGATTCCCTCTAAAAATACATAAACCACGTATATAACGTTAAAACACAGCTATTTATCTATAAGTATTGGTGAATACACATAACAAAATGGAATAAAATAATAGGAATGTATAAAAATATGTTTATGAGTGTCAATAAAAAGAGCCATTGTCGGTCTCTTAGTTTCCAGTCCATGCATATTTCTCATCTTGAATATTGCCTTTTCCGATGACCGTATGCTTTATGAAGGATCGCTCTCCGTAAAACATATGAATACATCGTTTTTCTCATCGATCGGTAGAGCTTCAGAACTACATGTCGCTTCCATTAAATTTGTATTGCATCTTTCATGAACGTCAGCATTTGATCGGAACATCCTTGACCATTTTTACTTCTCCGTTAATAGCCGATATCGTCAATGTCAATGAAAGGTGGCATCTGACGCATCGATCGCTGAGTAATAATTCTGGAAACTATAACGCACAATTGTTGAACTTAAAAAGATACCTATCCATGTTCTTATTTAACATCTGACAGAAGAATCGCTAAAAAAATTTTTTAGGTTGCAGCTACTTTATTTAAGTTAAGGTTGACTACTGAATAAACAGTGCTATACAAATTTCCAATTAAATACGACGCAAAATGTTATACGTGTCTAGATTTCTTCCCGTTACTAAAGCAGATCTTCCCGATAAATCATCTGTGACATTTTCAGATAGATATCAACTGGTAGTTAAATGGTTGAAGAACGAAAAAAGACTAGGGAGTGGTATTGAAGTTGCACGAAGAATGATGGAGACAAAGTTTGGTGAGGCCCGTAAAATCTTGGTCAAGGTCACAATTTGAAACGGAACGAAATGTTCGCCATCAGTTTTCAATGTGGAATCATAGCTACACCCATTAAGAAAGAAAAAATCAAACTAAATTGACCTGAAATAGCGAAAAAAATCACTACGGATTATCTCCATTCATTTGATACCCCAAACATCCACCAAACGGTGTAATGTGACTTCGAAGCACAACGTGATCTCCTAGATTTCACTGAAGGAGATATGCAAATTGTTATCTTGAAAAGTGAATATATGATAAAATCTTGTATCGCATTTTGAAGAAATCCCGAGGATTTAACCTCACTAATAAGCCATTTAGGAAACAATTGTAGCGTGGCATCGAGTCCCAATTGACTATGAACACCGCTACCAAGAAACACGTGCCAAATAAATCCATAAAATCCCCAGGAAGCCAAATATCAGAAGGCAGTTAATGGACCAAGTCGAGATATATTTACTAGCGATCTCGTGGTATCGAAAGGATACCGAGATCGCGCCAGGATAGAAGCTTGGTTACAGAACGTAACCGAATAATGTATGCTTCTTAGCACAGTTAAAATAAGGCACACTAAAACAGTCACTGGTTCAATTGGTTATAATAATAATTGTTTTCAATAAAACAATCGTGTTTTCGTGATAAATGTGAGTCACTACACATGTGTAGTGACTCACATTTATGATATTGCAACATCATAAATTAATCAACTTAGCATTTGCAGGTTATGTAGCTGTTGTGAGATAAGTTATTAACGTTTACATTCACGAGAAAAAGTAAGGACTGAAGGGAAAATTACTTTTTATATTACTTTTTATAAAGCATCAACCAATAGTTCACTTTTTAAAATTACTCATTTCGTTGCAAAAAGGGGCTGGAAGATTGTCCAGAACAGTATGAAAAGTTCTTGATATTAAAACATATAAAAATCTCAGTGATGTAGGTGTTGTTCTTCGTGTACAGACATCGGACAATGGACCATATTCTGCGGAATTTACATTTGCGTCAAGGTCGTTTCGGCAAAAGTAATAAGCAGGTGGTCTATTATTAGAATTTCCAGAAAAGACCAATTATGTACTCAACTTCAAAATGATGCTTTGAGAACGCTTTATATGTCGTTCGCGATACACCTCAAATAAACAGTGCGAAATATTTGTGCTTCCATTACAGATTGTTGCTTTTTCAGTCTTCTTAATACTGGGCATATTTTGTTTTGTGTTGTGGTATGTCAACAGGTTATCACCCTTTACAGGTTTCAAAACTGTCTACTAATTACAAATTCACATTTACTGTTCCTTTTATTATGATGTCAACTCTTGGTACTGATAGCCAATACTTATTGGAAATAGAGTACATGGACTCCGTTGAACTGCCTTTTAGTAGAGTTTACATCCTTTAGTTATAAAGTGATCTATGATAAGGGATCGTAGCGTTTTATTAGGGGGATGGTTTAGACGCGAATATCTAACATATGTTAATAGATTACTATTGTACCCGAGCTGTCAATTTCGGGGAAAATTTGGCCCATTTTGGGGAAGCCGCTACAGTAAATTTTGGGGAAATGAGACACAAACCTCAAAATTTCCCCAAACGTTGTCAAAGTTTCCCCAAAGTTGGCAGCTTGGGTATACACAACAAACTGACGTAAGCTATAATGCGAGTAATGTTTTCGCGCCGAAATTCGATACGCTTGTCCACATACCCCACTTCTGGCCTAGTTCTCCTGTGGTTGTGTGTGAAGGAATTAATTTTCAAGTTTCTCTGAGGGAAACGATCAAGTTTATTAAGTTTACTGTCAACTAACCGTCCTGATACTCTGTAATTTCGACTACATTTAACGATTATTAAATTACTGCACACCTCCTCAGGCTTCGCAGACCGCAGATACCTGCAACAGTGTATGTATTTCAGGCTCTACGTTGCACTGAATTCAGTCATTTATTCGCACCATTGTGTGTTGTTAAAGTTTACTAAGTTGTTTCGACACATTATTGTGGACCAATGTGCTTTTTGTACAAAGGTTCGGTCAGATCGTAATTTGTATTTGACTTCTGTTGAAGTTACTCTCTCGCGTTGAGTTGCTTCAGCACGTCGCATTTCCATCAGTTACGTTTGTATTTTTCCAAGTGTCATTTAGGTTGTGAATGAGTAAGAACTATCACTTAATGTCAATTCAAGACATTCATGAAGGTTATTTAGTTATAATCATTCAATTTGTTTTTTTTTTGCAGTTCTTAAATATACTTCCACTTGGAGTGTCAGGTTTTCTACGAAGCAATCACTTCTTTGGCCTTGACTTTATTTGGTATTTATGGTGGTTTAAGAACATCTAAAATGACAGATTGGTTTCATAGGAATCACTTAAAGGCTACTGCTAAGTATACTTTCGACGTTGGTGCAGTTGCTAAAGATTTAAGCTGCAAGGCTCTATGCAGGTATGTCCATTGTTTAATAAGACAATAATGAATTGTCATAGTTTTCATCACTATTTTGACTGATTAATATCTATTTCGTTTTGCAACCTTCCCACATATTTGTGAAACTTACCATATAGCAGTAGACGATATGCATGGAATACAAGTATTCGGTCATATTCATATTCAATCCATTGACCACTTACCTTGATGTACTATTTTGGTTGGCATAGAATCAAGTTGGGAAAAAGCTTGGGATGGATAGATCCAGACAGTATTAGCTTGCTGAGTAATCGGCTATCAATTTATCCCTTGAGGAGTAGTGATACATAAATACTGGCTGAGATTCGTAAAATAGTCGTAATTTATAGTTGAAGACATTGAATGATATGGTGCCAAATTGGTCCATTTACGTAGTTAGATAGATTTTTTCTCTTCCTTTAAATGTCAATTTCTCGCACTCCATACTTCCATTGTTTGATCTTATTCGCTTCTTTTTCACCATTCACGTCCATTTTTCTAATAGAGTTGATTTATTCTGCCTTTCACCTTTTGTTCTAATGAGATACGTATTTGTGTAGTTTCTATCGTGACCAACTGATGTATTGACGGATGTAAAATCACACTGGGGTTTGATGAGATTTATTATCTCTTGTTTTCAAAACTTTCTGAAAGTCTATATCAAATTGTTGGGACAACATTAATCTCTTCGATATAATAGAAGGGGTTAGAAAATAGTTCTTCCTAATGTCAGTCAGGTACAACGTAGGACCAGGTACACGCATCGGTCCAAGTTGCCACACCTCATCAGCACAGCAAGACGAACACCGGTTTCATAGAAGCAGTTAACTCAACGGTGTAATAAGTCAATGGCTTTAAATTCCTTATGCTGCTTACACTCAACACCTAGCTTAACTCGTAGTTGTACTTATACATTTTTGATATAGATATCAGGCTTTCTAAATAGGAACCATATGTTCCTTAGATATCTGTTCATCAAGAGTCCTTGCTATTAATGTAGTATAAGCTACTTATTAAATTTAATTTAGCGATACAGCTTAGTCCTGTCTCATGAGCAGTACGTTTTGCAGTTTTCCTACGACAATTTAGTAAAAAAACAAATCCTGTGTTGCACTTATCTTCTTATCCTCAGTAATAATCGAAGTATGTAAAGTGCTGAATAGTAACTTTTGAATGACAAAACTTCTTTTCCATAAAATTAACATCAGAATTTACTTTACAAAATTCTGGACAATTCATCCCACCTATATTTTTTCCTTGATATATTTCTATCCCGTTTAAAAGTTTAGATTTTTCAAGACTACATTCTTCCGCTTATTCATTTGATTTTAGTGACGCTGCAAAACGTCGTGTTGAACTTCTCAAGCTAATATCGGATCCATCAGTACCATGTGAAGCAGTCATTACTTCCTTGAATCGATATTTACAGTTATTAATGGGATTCATTGTGGCAACTGATAATAAAACGCCGTTCAGTAAATTAAGAGGTCTCGTTTGTGTGAAATGGTGTGACAGTATAAAGCCGAAGGGTGAACCAATGTTTGTGAATGTTCTTTTTGCTTATTTTCTAACTTAATTTATTTAGTGTTCGCTCAGATTCTATCTTTGAATTATACTCAGTACTTTTCAATGTTGCTTTATGGTATACTAAACATGCAGCAAAAGTTGCTTCTAACGAGAAGTAGGTGTTGATTTCCCATGTATCTATATAAAAAATCAGTGTTTCAGAAGATGAAGCCAAGGATGTTCATTTATCACTTAAAACAGCTGCTGGATTGTTTAATTTATTACGGACAAAGTATATGCATGAGTTTACAGAATTTGTTCCGAACAGTGATATGGATCCAAATATTCTGGATGCCTATATAAATCAGTCGTTAGCAGAAGCTCAAGAAAGTTAGTAGTGTTATGCTTTTTATTTTCATACTTTAGTTTTTAGTTATTCTTTTACCGATTTATTGGTTATATATATGGTTAATTCTCAGAAGTCGAGTCTACTGAAGCACTGATTACTCTTATATAATCTATAGTTATGGGAATGGCTGTTGTAAATCGATAACAGTACACTCGTATTAGCCAGGAATTAATTTATCAGCGTAGTTAATATCCGCTTCGATATACATCGGTTATATACTCATACCTAACCACTACCTATGTTGATCCTTAATAATGCTCAAAGCATAAGTAAGATGGACAAAATTTAGTAATCAGGGCTACTCTTTACTCCAATCTGATAAATCGCTAATTTGTCCAAAAGATTTCTAAGAGAACAGTAAACAATAACTTGGCTCTTTATTTCAAAGGCAGGAATTTCTGATTAAGATTGTAATTTTAAGATAATCACATAATTACTGTTTACACGGGACTAGCTGAACGGCGAAGAATACACCGTCTCAATGACCAGTATTTATTCGAGATAACTACAAGTTGGCTAATATCAGTTAAGAAATCATTCTCTTCCAACTAAGTCAGTCACTATTTATATACCGTAAACCAAAAAGGCACTTACAACCCATGTACTTAAGAGTAGTTGAGTCGGTTTATTATTATTATTTTTATTTCAACACAAATATTGTTACAAGAGGGCACCAAATATATATGCGCCACACCATATTTGTGTGTGTGTGGGCTGTGATACTGCCCGGGTGCCCAGACCGAAGTAGGTGGTTGTCTTAGTGGGCCACACCCGGAGCCTTTGACCTAAAGGTCCAACCCACTAGGCAGTGGAGCATCGTGAGGAGATGCAGTCTCATGGTAGCCGGTGACCAACGATTGGTTCATACGCCATTTGTTCCCGCAGGATACTGGAGCCCATGTGCACCATTGATTTGGATTGGGATCCGGTTAAAGAGCCAGACATTCGCTTTTCGTCCTCTCATTTTTGTAAACAACACCCCTGGTGAGAGAAGGGAGTGAGTAGGACTTCCCTGACAGAGGCTGTATACGCGTGGCCGTGTGGGAGTATTTCGAGGGGGAGAGCGAACCCACCCCACTCTCGGCCATACCAGGGCATTTGGGGGTCGGTTTAGCCAAAGTTAAACAGACCGTGACCTCAGTTATTTTAGTAATTTACTCGAAACAACTCACACTTGTATTTGACTCACAAAGTAACTTTGATACATCCTGTATTCCGTGAGATTCTGCTCGACTTTCCGTCCAGTGATACTTCATACCCACAGATAAAATGAGGTATCAAAGAGAGAGAGATGTTCTTGGATATAAAACACCACAGGTTTTCGGTGCCAGTGTTACAATTCAAAAAATAAGGAGCTAATACTACTATGTTTCCTTACTAAGCAGTTGTGGGTGAATATTCTTAAGTGGTTGTTCTTTAGATCCAACGAAAACAAATCCTGTTACTTATAAAGAAGTATATTTCTGTGGTACAGGTAGTCGAGAAATATAAACCATCACGCACTTGAAAAATTAAAAGTGTAACAAGTTAAACCGACACGCGTCTGCTTCACGTTCTTTGTTGTCTCTGATGGATTGTGTATGAAGTGAAAAAGTTTGGTAAATACCTACGTTATAAGTACGTCTTTGTGTTTTCTTTCCACATATCTGTTTCCCAATCTCTTATTTTAAAGTTTTAACTTATTAACTCTCCAGCTTTACAATATACCTTTTTTTGATATTCCAGTTACTGTTGCCAGAGCAATTGAATTAAAACATAAACCATATTTAATCGCTGGTTTAGCTAATGAAACTGCTAAGTTTTACGAAAAATGTGGTAAGCTCCCAGTTATTTTTAAGATCAAGTTTCTAATGAACACCTCATATTTAGTGAGTTTTCGGGATGTCGCATAAAACTAACTCTATTTGACCGATAAAAATATATTGTTTGTTATTTGCTTTAAAAACCCTAAGTAAAAAAAGCATCTTGTGCTACTGTTTATGGTAGGCTTTTAAAATTCGATAAATTTTAGTCATCATTAGCAGTGAATATATATTTTATATGATAAATGAACTGAAGTTGGATATTCTCATTCATTAGATTATCATCAGTGTAACATCCTATCTCGAGATATCATGTCTTAGGTTTTGTGACCGGGAATCTCATTTCAGGTGGGTTCTAGACTTTGATGCCTATGTCGATTTGTGGTGATTGTTGATGTAAGAGTAGGCTGGAAGAAACCTAGGTGTTACCCAATCAAGCCGCAGCCCATAAATTCATTGACTGTTGGACTGAGCCGTGTAGACAACTGTAGATTACATGGTTGGAGTCCTTGCAATTGTCTTAGTGAGTGATTGGAGATGGATGACATGGCTCACAATTGGTCACAATGGTGTAGATCCACTTATTCTATGTATTATTTATTTATTTACTTGAACACATAAATATTGGTACAAGGGAGTGCCAATATATATGCCCTCAAATGCCTTGGTATGGCCGAGAGTGGGGTGGGTTCGCTCTCCCCCTCGAAATACTCCCACACGGCCACGCGTATACAGCCTCTGTCAGGGAAGTCCTACTCACTGCCTTCTCTCACCAGGGGTGTTGTTTACAAAAATGAGAGGACGAAAAGCGAATGTCTGGCTCTTTAACCGGATCCCAATCCAAATCAATGGTGCACATGGGCTCCAGTATCCTGCGGGAACAAATGGCGTATGAACCAATCGTTGGTCACCGGCTACCATGAGACTGCATCTCCTCACGATGCTCCACTGCCTAGTGGGTTGGACCTTTAGGTCAAAGGCTCCGGGTGTGGCCCACTAAGACAACCACCTACTTCGGTCTGGGCACCCGGGCAGTATCACAGCCCATACACAAATGATGAACTGCCTACAATTATGGAAACTACTTTTCTTGCTTCAACTAACAATCAAATTCTATGTATTGAAGTGCTTATACCTTCTATTTCTCAAGTTCATTCTTTTGTAATCATATTCATTATGCCTACCGTTATCTGCTGCTACGGATATTGTTATTACGTTTACTACTTACTTACGCCTGTTACTCGTGAAGGAGCATAGGCCTCTCACCAGCATTCTCCATCAAACCCTGTCCTGAGCAATCCTTTCCAGCTCCTTCCAGTCATTATTCATCCTTTCCATATCTACTTCAATTTCCCGACGTAATGTGTTCTCTGGCCTTCCTCTTTTCCGCTTCCCTTCAGGATTCCAAGTTGGGGCTCGCCTCGTGATGCAGTTTGATGATTTGCATAATGTATGTCCTATCTATTCCCATCGTCTTTTCCTAATTTCCTCTTCAGCTGGAAGCTGGTTTGTTCTCTCCCAGAGAAGGCGGTTGCTGGTGGTATCCGGCCAATGGGTGTTGAGTACCTTACGTAGACAACCATTTATAAATACTTGTACCTTCTTGATGCTGGTTGTTGTAGTTCTTTTATTTTGTTTACTTATGTTTAACACATAGATATTGGTACAAGGAGGCACCAAACACAAATCCCATTTGATATGTATAAGGGCTGTGATACTGCCCGGGTGCCCAAACCGAAGCAGGTGATTTTCTTAGGGGGCCACACACCTGAAGGTCTGACCCACAAGGCAATGGAGCAACGTAAGGCGATGTATTCTCATGGTAGCCGGTGACCAACGATTGGTTCATACGCCATTTGTTCCCACAGGATACTGTAGCCCATGTGCACCATTGCTTGGGAATCAGGGTTTTCCAACTCCCATAGGTGGACTCTCCATGCCCACCAATCCGGTTAAAGTAAAATACATTCGCTTCTCGTCCTCTAAATTTTGTAGACAACACCCCCGCCACGAGAAGCCAGTGAGTAGGACTTCCCTGGTAATGGTTGTATACGCGTTGCCATGTGAGAGCATTTCGAGAGGTAAAGCGGACTCTCCCTACTCTCGACCGTACCAGGGCATTTGGGGGCGGTTGTAGTTCTACAAGTTTCAGCTCCGTACAGTAGAACTGCCTTGACGTTCGTATTGAAGATTCTCAGTTTGATATTGGCTGAAAGTTGTTTTGATTTCCATATGTGTAATGCCTCTGTAGTTTTCATATTTGCTCAGATCTCCTTTCATTGGAATCTTGATGTGGTGTCCTTCTTACCGTTATTACGTCTACTACTAATTAATTTGTCTCTATAATTTAATCTTTGTGGATGTAGTGTGGCGACTTGAACCGGTACACATCAGTCAATCAGCTATAACGTAGGTCCATGCACATATATGCATCCGTCCAAGTTGCCACACCTCATCAGCACAACAAGATGATCATCAAACTCACAGAAGTGTTTATTTCAATTGTAGTAATACATAAAAGAAGCATTGTATATAAGGATATAATGCATGAAGAAAGAATTAGTTCACAGAAAGGTATAAAGTAATTTTAATCTCACGGTTTAAGAGAAGACAAAGAGTGTATGCATCTACGCCATTGTAATCGATTCTGGGCCATGTCACCCAGAATCTCCAACCATTGATTACGATAGTCACGCGAACCCCAACCAAGTAGTCTACATCTGCCAACAAGGCTCAGACCAGAAGTTAATGACTTCAAGGACTGATGCCATGTTTTAGTTTGGTCTCCCAACCGTCTCCAACACTAGTCAGCATTGCGCGCCGTGGTAATCGGTGTTCAGGCATACATAACACGTGGCCCAACCATCTCAGTCGATGAAGATTCACAACCTGATCAATTGATTTACCATCATTCCCTAGTACCAGGGGCAAATACAGTTTACATGCATACCAGTAAAAAGTTTTCACCTGTGTATCCCTTGGCATCCATATGCATATATTGTCCCATCTGAGGGGATAAATAATCACCACTCCCCTCGAAAGTATATGCTACATCTGACTGTCACACATAACATGCATACCTATGTCCAAAGACTTTCATCTATGCACCTTATTACCTGCACACACACGTAAGCACTATCTCAGGGATGATTGGTGGTCATTTCTCCATAGTATTTACTACCATATTTTTTCATTATGTTTTTTGACCATTAGGATTAGGCCGCTGATTTGATCAGATATACAGCAGATATTTTTTTCAGGTTACGTTCTTTGTGCTGACTCACGCACGTACCCTTTGCATATACCTACATACATAAACTACACAAGCAGAGACTTCTACAATTCATACATATGGGGCAACCCGTCATCATTTTTAAAGCCTCGGAGAGTGAACTCCGAGTAATCCAAAATCAGCATAGAAGTGGTGGATTAGTTCAATCTCCGCCGACCGCCCACTTTTGCTAGCAAGGTTGCCTTCACTATCCAGCACCACGTGAAGTTTTAGAGTCCATTTTGCTGCCAATCTTTGTGGTTTTTTCCTTTTTCTTCAGGTTTGGCTTTAACACAATGTAATCCTAAAGTTGTTGGGAAATGGAAAAAATATTCAGAATTTAAACAGTTCTGTTATGAATCATATGTAAGTGTGTAGACTTTATACAACTAATGAATAGCATTTGTCTCTATTAAATAAGATGTTTATCAGTTTTAGATAATTATTTATTGGGATTATTCAAAAATTTAACGTGTCTACTCATTTATTGATCTTTATAATATTGAATAAAGCCATTAATAATAATAATAATAATCGTAGCTATCCGTTGTATACCTCTTAAATCATCAGGGATATAGGCATCTTGATGTTGTCTATAATATCATTATTCATCCACTTGAACACACAGAATCGCGATGTATATATGTTTTCTTTCCGAATTCATCTGTTATGTACTACTTGGATTTCGAGCAGATGATATAGTCCTGTTTGATGAAGATGCTGATAAAATTCAGTCTCTTGGTAGCACTCAACAACAATGCCAGGATGTTTGTAATGCGTTTCTCCCCCCTCTAAATGCAAAGTGTTGCTTCAGGACTGTCCTGCGTCAACATCTGAATTAAGGATGGCGGGTGAAGCAGTTAAACGCGTTGACAACTTCACTTATCTTCAAAGTCTGATCAGCCCTAATGGGTTGGTGTCTAATGAAGTCTCTGCACGCATTCAAAAAGCTCGTTTGGCTTTTGCCAACTTACGCCATCTACGGAGAAGGCGAGATATCCGTCTATCAACTAAGAAACGAGTATACTGCGCAGCATTTTGTTCTGTTTTACCTTATGGCTATGAAACGTGTCCATTAAGGGTAGAAAATACTCGTAAGCTACTAGTATTTGATCACAGATGTTTTAGAAATATTCCCAGCATCTGCTAGGATCACCGGGTTAGTAATAGTCAGGTTGGACACAGGGTATTAGGGAATGATGGTAAATCAGTTGATGAGGTTGTGAATCTTCATCGACTGAGATGGTTTGGCCACGTATTGCGTATGCCTGAACACTGATTACCACTGCGCGCAATGCTGACTAGTGTTGGAGACGGTTGGGAGAAAGTTATGGGCGACCAAACTAAATTTATTTATTTATTTGAACACATACATATTGGTACAAGAGTGCGCCACACAAAACAATGAGAATTTAAAGAGAAGGAAAAAAAAGATAAGGTGGGTAAAAAAAAGAGAACAATAACGAAGAGATTGGTGTAAGGTAGTGTAATAATAATAGTGGTAATAATGGGGAACGGAAAGGTACAATCAGAAGAAACCCTTCAGTTAAGGAAGATACAACCACTTTTTTATGAAGTAAAAGAAGGTTACAGCAGGATCGCCACTGACTTCTATTCTGAGCCATATCTGATAACGTCTCTAGCCACTGTGTCGCACCATCTCTAGGACCCCAGCCAGGGAGTCGTGAAGGACCAACACAAGCCAGTCCTTTGCAGCTTTCTTTCATGCCACGACACCATGTCATATATGACCACCTCTCCGCTTTTTCCAACCAGTCCCAACGTCGGCAAACAATGCACGACGTGGAATTCTCTGGGACGACATTCGTAGAACATATCCAAGCCACCGAAGTCGGTGTTTCAAGATGGTGACACCGATTGCATTATCGTCTATGTGCCCGAACAAACGATGCCGAACCTCTGCATTACTAATATGGTATTGCTACTGGATGTCAGCAATCCTTCAGAGACAACGATGATCGAACACAGAGAGTCGTCTAACGTCCTCAACTCGGAGAGGCCAGGCTTCACAAGCATAGAGCAAAACTGCTCTCACCGACGCGTTGTAGATCCGATTTTTTACAGCCACGCTAACATCACGAAGGCGCCAAAGATGGCCCAGATTGGCATAAGCTGCTCTGGCTTTCACTATACGTGCATTAATCTCATCACTCACACCCCCACCAGCACTTATGCAGCTACCCAGATACACGAACTTCTCGAATACTTCTATCTGCTCACCATCCAGGATGAGTACAGGATTGGAATCCTGCCAGTTTTGTAGAAGTACTTTGCACTTCGAAGGTGCAAAGCACATACCATACCTACTGACACTGATTGCCAACTGATTAAGTACGGATAGCATGCCTTGGGCATTATCGCACAGTAAGACAATATCGTCCGCATACTCAAGGTCGAGAAGTCTTTCTCCAGGCAACAGATCCACACCACCATTACTTACATCCATCAGAGCTGTTTCCAGAATGTCATCGATGGCAAAGTTGAAGAGGAATGGTGAGATTGGGCAACCCTGTCTAACCCCACTGCTCGAATGGAACAACATCGTCAATTCCTTAGTCAGAAAGTCACCACCATCTTTAAAAAGAGCCGGAGGTAAGTCATCTGGGCCAGGTGATTTGTAACGCTTCAAGAGTTGGAGTTCCTTGCGGACTTCCGCCTCATTTGGTGGATCAGTCGTCACCGGCCATGGAGGGCAGGACAATCTGACCGATGTTGCCGGAGCAGCGAGCCAGTTGAACTGCCCTTCGAAAAATTCTGCCCATCGTCCAAGACGTCGATGGATGTTAGTGACTGGCATCCCGTCATCCTCACAGATTGTTTCTCTCACACCAGACTTCTTGCTGCCAGTGGCTCGGATGAGTTGGGAGAGCTTCCGGTAGTTACCAGATGCAGCTGCTGCTTCCAGCTCATTAGCACGCTCCGACCACCAGGCTTTTCGGTCCTTACGCAAGCTTTGCCCAATTTCCTTACATAACATCCTTCGTTTATGGTCAAACTCACGGTCACCCGGAGTAGACCGACGGGCTTCAATGAGTTGTAAGGAACCTACAGAAACCCAGTGCTTATAAGCGGGACGTTTCGCAAACCCACAACTGACTGTACCCGCCATTTTCATGGCGTCATGCAATTGCAACCAACGCTCATCTATACTTTTCGGTGGAGTGGTAGCTAGCTTAGAGGCTAGCTCAGTTCCATACTTACTTGCAACAGAAGTTGCAACCAGCTTCCTAATATCAATCCGTTGATGGCGGTCACTTCGTTGTCCACTGAAAAGTAAGGCAAGATTGGCGCAGACCAAGGCATGATCAGAGTCCAGATAGGTACTCCAAAAGGAGCGGCAGTCTTGCACACAACCACGCCAGCGGTAGCTGATCGCGATGTGATCAATCTGAGTCCAGGCTTGAGATGCAGAGGGAGGACGCCAGGTGGCACATCGGCGATGACTGTGCCGAAAGTTAGTGCTAGCCAGAAACAGGTTGTGGTCTGTGCACAGTTGCAGTAGACGGTCCCCGTTATCTGTCCTGTGACCAACAAGTCCCCATCGGCCACCTAAACGACTCTCTTCTGTGCCTAGACGCCCGACCTGAGGATTCAAGTCTCCGGCTAGTACTACAATATCTGTCGAACGCACTTTCTGGAGAAGAACAGATAATTGGTGATAGAATTCATCCTTGATTGCATCCGGGCTGCAATCTGTCGGGGCATAGGCGGAGATGACGAAAAGACATCGTTTCTCACGCCGATTTCTTCTCACTTTGATGGAACTTTCTAATCTAACAGCACATAGCCGACTGTTAATGGGGATCCAGTCGATTAGTGCTGCCTCAGCTCTAGCGCTTAGTGCGACACCAACGCCAGCAAGACCAGACGAAGATGCCACAGGGTCCCTGGATAAGCGCACATAAAACAAGCTTTTCGAAGCGACAGATGGAGATCGAATTTGTAGTACTTCGCCAGAGTCTTGAATACAGGTCTCGGATAGACAGCAGACATCGATATTAAGACTTTCCAAAGACATAGCCACCCCTATCTGTTGTCCAACCTGCATAAGTGTGCGAACGTTGAAGGCAGCCAGTTTGAATGTTGGACGTGGTTTCAGAAAAACTGCTTCAGTACTCATATTCTGTGGTAACATACAATTTTCAACCATTCAGTGACTCGAGAACGTTTAGATACAGTCGAATTTCCACCACAGACGAGCTGCTGTATAAGTCGAAAAAATAAGTATAGACAGAGTGGGAATAAAAGAGGGTGAATAATGATGTAGTAAATAATAATAATAATAATAATAATAATAATAATAATAATAATAATAATAATAATAATAATAATAATAATAATAATAATAATAATAATTTGAATCATTTGATTGTTAGTTGAAGCAAGAAAAGTAGTTTCCATAATTGTAGGCAGTTCATCATTTGTGTATGGGCTGTGATACTGCCCGGGTGCCCAGACCGAAGTAGGTGGTTGTCTTAGTGGGCCACACCCGGAGCCTTTGACCTAAAGGTCCAACCCACTAGGCAGTGGAGCATCGTGAGGAGATGCAGTCTCATGGTAGCCGGTGACCAACGATTGGTTCATACGCCATTTGTTCCCGCAGGATACTGGAGCCCATGTGCACCATTGATTTGGGTTGGGATCCGGTTAAAGAGCCAGACATTCGCTTTTCGTCCTCTCATTTTTGTAAACAACACCCCTGGTGAGAGAAGGGAGTGAGTAGGACTTCCCTGACAGAGGCTGTATACGCGTGGCCGTGTGGGAGTATTTCGAGGGGGAGAGCGAACCCACCCCACTCTCGGCCATACCAGGGCATTTGGGGGCGTATAGGCGTGGGTTCTAATCCCACCTCCACCACCAGGTGGAGTGGCCGAGTAGTCTAAGTGGTCTAAGACCAAACCAAAACATGGCATCAGTCCTTGAAGTCATTAACTTCTGGTCTGAGCCTTGTTGGCAGATGTAGACTACTTGGTTGGGGTTCGCGTGACTATCGTAATCAATGGTTGGAGATTCTGGGTGACATGGCCCAGAATCGATTACAATGGCGTAGATGCATACACTCTTTGTCTTCTCTTAAACCGTGAGATTAAAATTACTTTATACCTTTCTGTGAACTAATTCTTTCTTCATGCATTATATCCTTATATACAATGCTTCTTTTATGTATTACTACAATTGAAATAAACACTTCTGTGAGTTTGATGATCATCTTGTTGTGCTGATGAGGTGTGGCAACTTGGACGGATGCATATATGTGCATGGACCTACGTTATAGCTGATTGACTTGAATTTCGGATCTTGAGTGATTTCCATGTAGAATTTTATGTATATATCACAAATAACTTTTGTAATTATTTGTTCTATTGGTGCTTTAATGAGTGAATGTTGTATATTCGTGTTTGACGGTCACATATTTTGGTGTTCAACTCAGATTATGATACACGATAATGACACTTGATCAACTGAACTAATTGAAAGAATACATTATTTATAATAGTGTATTCAGTGAATAAAATACCTATAGTTAATATGAGTATTTAAGAAGTAAGAATAAGATTAACTATGTTCATTTGGGTAGCAAATTTACCTATGTGAACGATCACATTACTCGTTATGACGTGTATGTGAATCGCCATAATTCTGAAACAGTAGCATTTGTCTTATCCTGCTGAATTTATTCGATATTTCATAAAGGCATCATTCTAGTATGATTACGTTACCGTTTAATCATAAAGTGTTGAACACTTAATCGTTAAGTACTGTAATTGGGAAGCAAGTTTATATTATTTGGTTCAATTTGGCAAAGTTGTAACTTTGCTATATGATGAAAAGATTTGTAACCCTATATACTAATGTATACTAAAGAAATAAGTATCTGTTCATCTTAGTGAAATTGCCATTCTATTAGTACTCGTCTTATTTTTTACTGATCATTTTTGTCATTCTTGTAAGTTATCAGCATTGTCCACCCTATTTTATAATTATCAAACATTTGAGTTGTGTAATGGGCTCTAATTTTCGTATTACACTTCACTGAAAATAGATTAAATTTTCTTAGCTTTTGGCAAAACGTTTTTTAAAACACGAACGTTGACTCACAGTTATTCATTCAGAATGCTTCAAAAATATGCAACGATAATGTCGTTAAAAAGTCAAAATCAAAAATTGAGAATCCTTTTTATCGTCCAAAGAAGGTTTTTACATTTGAAGGAATAAGTTTTGTAGTATATATTTGAGCTGAACGCGCTTACAACTCATTGTAAAGTTGAACGCTTCTTTTAGGCTGAAACATTCTTAGGTTTATTTTCTTTGAAATATGAATAATAATAATAATCGAAGTCGCTTATAATCTAAGATATTTGTATTTGTCCTAGTCTTTTTTTTAATCAATAATTTACACCTTTTGAACTACTGATGTTTTACACCTTTCTGTAAATTAGCTTATAATCCTTGCGTTTGATTTTCTTATCCTGTGTAAAATGTAAGTTCTTTTAGTGTCCTTCATGAAGTTCTTGTTTTTGGAAGCTAATAAAAGGCTAACAATAACTTGAATTTATATTACGACAATATACTTTTTGCATATCCTTCAAAAAATATTAGTTATTCAGAAACAACTTATAACTTGGCATCTATTAAAATGTTATTTTCGATTATTCAAATTAAAGTTGTTTGGTTTACAGATTAAGTGTTTATAGAAAATTGTTATTATGTCTAGATAACGGTAAGTCAGTCAGTAAGTCAGTAACAACGTAGAACTTCGTACGTACGTACATCAGTTCGAGTTGCCACAACACATTAGCACAGAGATGCAGTGATCGATTCAAGTCCCGTAGTGCTAGTAAAATTATAAGCTGAAATCAGAAAAATTAGGGTTGGAAGATAACGGTAAGCAACATTTTAATTCTACATTATCGATAACTAGCCTGTCGTTAATCAGTCTTTCCCTAAAACAAATTTCTGAATAATTATTATTTTGAAAGCATTGTTAACCTTTTTCTTTACATCATCTGTTTATTAATCATTGGTGTTGTCATAGGTAATACGGTCCATCACTATCATTGTTTACTTTTAAATGGTATATTGTGATAAAAGTGGATCCAACCTAAATGTTTACATTTTATATTGTACACCTAAATGTTTATATAGATATTTTGATGTGTATTAATTTAGTTTAAACTTATTTTTCGATAATTAACTGCATCAAACCTCTAACACCAAGTTCGTTGTACTAGCCATGGTTATCATGTGTTATTAACCTTCATTAGAATGACAGTTTTTCTCTGTGTTTGTTGTAACATTCATCTCATTGCTCAATTAATTATTTGCTGTCTGATAAATAACTCAAATATAACTTTTTCGGTTGAACATAGGTAATTTGTAGAGAATAGTTTTGATTTAAAGTTAAGCTGTTTACTGATAGTCATTCAATAGGAATTTAGACCTAATTTTCGTTAGCAAATTATCAGTTTGACTAGATTATTCACACCGGTATTTTCACATGGTCCATTATGTCATCGTAATACTATTGTTACTTATCGGATGAATTTATGACACCTCGATCCCTTCACATGTTGCAGTAGTAAATTGGTTTGCAACTCGATACATTATTTGGTCATTTAGAAGCAAACTGGTGATATTTATAAACATCAAAGCCTTAGACCGTATGATAAACTAGGTAAACTCTGTAGTGTGTAAAAAATCATTACCAGTAAGAAAATAGGTAAATATACGTAATCGAAGCAATTATTCTCCTGCCTTCGATATCCCCATTCGGTAAAGACAAACTTAGGAGATCCTTCACTGTTCGGTCCTCTCCTTTTACTTTTTACTGTGACGTCACTGTAAGTACACCTTATATATGCTATTAAGTATAATATTTTTTGTAGGTTAGCAGTTCTATAATGAGTAAGAGATAAATCAAAGTAGGGTTCATGGAAAATAGCATTATTGTATGACGAAATTAATCTGTATCAAAGAGATCCTGCTAAGGAGCAACATAACTTCTTTAATATTATCCGCGGGATTTGTAAATTTAGAACATATGTGAATATTTTTTGTTTCTACTCGTTTTGAGGTTACTTTTTTTGGGGGGGGGGGAAAGTAATCCATCCTAAGTCTTGATATCTACTTTGAATATTATTTGTAGAAAAATAGTCAATAGAACTGTGATAATCATTCCATTGTTTATTAACCATAACTTTTATCAAAGATGATATATATTTTGTACATAAAATTTCCTGGTTATTTCATAAATCATCTAACTTAATAATTCATCACTATAAATGCAGTGTCATTGGTATTTCAATTTAATTCTCATCTGTCAAAAATTTACTTCTCTTAAAGGCGTATGTTTACTATGGTGAGGACTTATTGGAAAAGGGAAAGGCAGGTCAAGCTGTGGCAATTCTTAAAGAGGCATCTGCTCGTAAGTTTTTTTTGTGATTATCTGATTTTAGTACATTTATCAAGTAAAGCTGATTAAATTTTTCGTATGCCTAACTACCGGCAACCTCGACAGGTGATTTCAGCTGGTGTAGGTGTAATTTAAATATAAAGCTAGGGATGTCCAAATAAAAACGTGATATCAATTTAAGGAGTTATTTACTGTCGGTCTGCATCATGATGATGTATATAGACTACTTGATTAAGGTTTGCACGATAATTGTTATAGGGTGTTGGAGAATTTGGGTGACGGCTTACAATCGTCTACAGCGCAGTCGATGAATTCACTCTTTATCTTCTCATGGATCTTGAGTTCTCGTATGTCCTCATACATATATTTCTATTCCTTTCAGAACAATATTGTCAATGTTTAGACTTCCTGAATATCACTGATAATACAGCTATGTTGACTGCTTTTATTATTATTATTATTATTATTATTATCATTATTATTATTATTATGTTGGTTTCGTCTCGTCGTGCTGATATGGTATAATATCTTAGACCAATAAGCACTTCCCAAGCTCTAAGATGACTGACTAATCAACTGGGAATCTAGTTCAATTACATCAATGTGCTGGGTGATTCAATATTTTACTGTAGAAATAATATTATATCCAACACTCCCATACTTACTAGTATGTTTGAGAAATTACTAGCTTTTGGCAAATCATCTTTAACGTTTGCGCAACGTCTCTGTCGGCTAAAGTAAAGTTTCTTCTGTTGTATATATATATTTTTTTAAAGCATATGAGAAGGCGATTCGTGCTGCGCGTGAATACACAAAAGTTGAAGGTGTCAGTTTGTCAACTAAACCACCTGATCATTGTTTTTTCCGTCGTCTGCCTGGACTAATTGAACGTACACATAATAAATGCGAACGTGAAAATGGATTAATGTAGGTTATTGCGTGTTTCCAAGTTATTAACCTTGACCAGTATTTTTTCATGAATGATATCATTTTTAACCATTTAGTTCCAAGGTTCGATTCATTTAGTATGCGTCTAGCTGTAGAATCGAGGACAGATGTTTCGTCTCCTTTTTTGGCTCGTTAGTTGGATTTTCGAGTTGATGTCTACCACCTGATTTGAACCCAGTAACTTTCGCTCCATCACGTTATCCACTTAGTTAATTAATATAAGTAGCCATGAGTATGTGTTTTAATTTAATTCGTAGCGGATTTAGATTATTCCGTTGATCAAGACTGATAAAATTCCAGTCAAAATATCAACGACAGTTTAACCCAAAATCATTTGAAATTAAATAGTACCTTTCTCTTTATACATCTTTAAGGTTATCCACCGATCTACTTTAGTAAAGGAGAGTCTCGTCATTTAAATAGAGAATTTTCGATTGTTGAAATTAATAAGTGGAATGTTGGTTGATGAATGATATGTAGTGATACGAAACGTGGCCGAGTAATAACTGATCATAAAACCATATTGCTAACCTAAACCTCTGAATTCCTTTAGTTCAATTAAGACTTAATTTTTAGGATACTTTTGGGCATCATTGTATCAGCTACTGAGGAAAAGGTACTGAGTTCGAATCTTAATGTGAACATCATCACAAATTTAGGTACATTCAACTGAAAAGTGCCAAATAAGATGTAACTTGGATTATGGACCCCATTGATAGCTACTCACAAAATATACTAAAATTTATGACATAACGTCGTATCGAAGCCATCAGCTCAGGATGCTTGTATCGCAGCTGAGAGATTGATCATTTGCAGTCTTCTTTAATTTTACAACACTATGACATCGCTTAATTTCTGCTTATTTTTATAACCTATTTTCTCAAATGAAATTAAATATGATATTAGTAATATTGATTAAATGGATATAATCATACTTTCTTAATGGTAAGTCAGTCAATATCATAATCGTTTTATCACAAGATATATCAATATTGAATATTCTAGAAATGTAAGTTGCAATAGGTTTGTTTCCAAGTATAAATTGTCTAAAAGGTCATGACGATACATAGTTTTATCAAATTTATAGTAGCTTATAAGTTGATCAATTTTACTGAATTATATATACTTTCGATGAGTGAAATACATCGTGAACACGTGATTCATTGTATCCATATTTCAGAACAGAATTTATTTCTTTTATTGTTGTGAACTTTAATTATTTAGAATTTGTCAAAAATTCTCTTGGTCTCTCATTACTTAGAACTATTTATACGGAATGAGGTTACAAAATTTTTAATCTGAGTCTTCAATTCAGCAATTTACTTTAGTAACCATGTATGGATCCGTTATGTTTAGTGCAGCCAGACACATTGATATTCATCCTTTGGTTAATCACGGTTTTCTTTGACCCGACGCATTAGTTTGAATTGGTAGACCTAGGTGAAAATTGTTCGGTTTCTGGTTTATGGTTGAGTTGGGCGCACAGTAATTTCTAATTGTGAACGATCAGGATTCTTCTGATACGAATGGAATCTATTGCAAACTCGATAATACAACAACTAACACACATTACTTCAGCAATAATTTCTAATATGCAACCCAGGAATAATCAATGAATGCAAACAGAGCTTGATATTCTAAAAAAGTTGAGAAGTCAGTATTGAAATAGAACAATCTATTATATATATATTAATATAGTGATCTTGAGATAAGAAAATTGACGAACTGCAAGACAAAATAACCATATGGATGATAGAACAGCAGATATGAGCTAGAAAAAAACTAACAAAACTGGAGCACGGTACATTGGCCGTAGCCAGCGCTCGCTTTCAACTCGGATACGAGAACATATTCCAGCCTGGTTCTATAAGGGTGAAAGGAAAGCAGTTAGGAGTTCTATTCTTGAACACCTAATTGACTATAACCATTCAACAGATCCACAAATTGATTTTAAGGTTGTTTATATGATTCGTTCAAATCTACCCAGATTTCTTCGTATACAACTTTTAAAAATAGCCGAAGCTCTTGCCATCCAGGAGCTTAAACCAGAACTATGCGTACAAAAGAAGTACGTCTTATCGTTATCGTTACCTTGGCCTTAATTAGTTTGATTATCCTACCATTAATGTTATTATTATTATTATTATTATTATTATTATTATTATTATTATTATTATTATTATTATTATTATTATAATTACTGTATTTCCCCTTTACTTATGTCTTATATTCTCATTGTTTTATTCATGAACTCTCATCATATCAGTTTATTTTTGTACACCTCTATGACCTTTAATTATTATATCAAAAACATTTTAATCATTTTAATCATCTTATTATATTCACCAAATCCATTGTTATTGTTATTATTCATATTACGTAATCTAGTATTATAACCTTTATATTAACTATATTCACATTTCCTCACGGAATTAGTACTTTTACAAAAACTGGAAAATTTGAAGTTTTCCTATTTTAAAAAAACCCTTATCATTTCACTTTAATTATTTTAGTCTTCGCTGTACATTTGGGGAATTTTTCAAAAAAGGTGTAACGGTTAAAAGTTATCGTTTGTTAGTATTCATAACTCTGCGTTGCCTTTTACTACACTCTTCTTACCTTTAAGCTGAATTACATTTTCAACCAATTGAGTTTCCTAAGTATTTGGATACCACTTATAATTAATCTCTATATAAATCTGGGAGTCGTTTGAAATCAATAGACTTTGTCCGACACTTACTTTCTCTAATTTTCATTTTACCGGTCTGGCTTCGTCGGACAATGTTGGAGTGTGAAACGTTTCATACATCCTGATATTTCAGTATCGGTTTCGATTGAGGTATACCGAAAATATCTGTTACTTAATCTCTTTGTGAAGATGATTATTAACTAATAACCTGCTAAATCATATGAAGGTGGAAATATCAATGACTCAGAAAGTAGTTTTTTTTCAAATATTTCTCATAAAAGTAGTATTTATGTCAAGTTCTATAGCTGTATTTTAGAAAGCCTCATTTTTAATGTGCTTCCGAATAGTTAACAACTTTATCGCGAACAATTTTTCGCTTTCAAAAATTATCATGATTATTTTAAGAATGGATTTATGTTTTGTATTGTAACATGTAGTTTGACTAGATTATGTTACCGTCGACACTTATCTGATCGCTGATCAAGGACTAGATATCAATAACCATATGTATATTGGCATAGATACAGAATGCCAAGAAGCCATCCACAATATCAAGTTAGTTCACCATACATACTATGATTGGAGTTGTTTTTTTTTACTCACTAGCCAATCACCAACTACATTATTTGGACACATTTTGTCGCTTAACAGTGAGTATTAATTTGCTGTGCTTGCGTTACCGTTTTAATTTTTCCTTTACAGTGACAATTCACATGTTAACTCATTTGCTCCTCGGTAATCTTTTTAATAAATTTAGATATCATCAGAAAGTCCCAAGTGTCGCTCCATTTTTCGAAATAAAAGCGGAATATGGCATCGCAGCGCCCAAAGAACCTGAGCTCAATTTTGAGCTAGATCCCAGATGGAAAGACGCTTACGTTGGGTTTGATACTAGCAAAGTAGTGGAGAATATTTTATCAAACTCCGTAAGTTAACTTTCTGATACCATTATAAGCTTCTTAGTAGTTACTATCGCAATACCACAGTACTCATTTGTATTACTTCGTTTTTGACAAATAGGCCAAAAGCCGCGGCTTACCCGTCTTTTCTCTGAACTGTGGGTCACCTGAGATATCTGGTACTTAAATGCTTGATATCAACATTATAATCGCTTCTCAGTTCCATAGGGGTCTCCCATACTTTGTCTCCAAGAGAATACTAACAGTGTGAAGTATGAAAAGAAGCTATACTTCCATTGTTAGTTTAGGTGCAGGAAGCATGAATATTTATAGGTTTGTGTTGTGATCTCCATATCCTAGTAGCTCCTGAAGAAATACCATTATAATAGAATCGATTATTGTCAAGTCAAGGTATGACAAGTAATTTTGTAGTTTTCCAAAAACTAGAAAGTTTCTATTGAACGCTGACTGAACTAAGGATGTTTAGTCTTTTTTCAGATTTGGAAAACTTTTCCAAGTAAATTTCTAGGGCTTTCAACACCACTGCTTAGAACTAAATCTACATACATCGGCTTGAATAGTCAGTGTTACTCAACACATATGTATAGAGTCACTGGATAGTGTACAAATATGTGTGTACTTCCAAGCCCTATATTATGTTTTTAAACATTTTAAAGGATCTTTTTACCTACTTTTCACAGTTTTATGTAAAAAGGCTATTGCTTTATGTGTAGTTTTTAAAGAATAGGTATCGTTTGGTGGATTGTCAGAGAGATATAATAATTTTATGTCTTTCATCTTTCTGGTTTATATGACATTTTAAAACCACAAATAGTTAAATTACATCAAGTATCGATTCCTTGACAAATATTTCACTCTTTATTGAAGAAAGTTTTCATAAATTTACTAACGAATTTTTGTTATTGACAATACGGATGAGTTCAATCATTTAAAAGTCGTAGCACAATTCGAAACTTTAAAATAACTTTAGATCTTTTAAATTGGACTTTCAGTTTTCGTTCCGTAAATAACATTCCTTTTACTGTATTCTCCACATAATTAGTAGAACAACAAATAGAACTCTGATCAATTATGAAAAAAATTGAACGAGTGTTTATATGTGTGAACATAAAATTTGATACTTTTTAAAAGTTATACTTTAAGGAGAAATGTTTAAACAGATTATTTTGCTGTTTTCGACTACGATCATATATATGACAGATGTTTAAACTTCGGTTTCTAATTTATACAAGTTAATTGGAAGTCTGATCAGCCCTAATGAGCTGGTATCGGACGAAATCTCAGCACGGATTCGAAAAGCCCGTTTGGCTTTTGCCAACTTACGTCACCTTTGACGAAGGCGAGATATCCGTCTATCAATCAAAGGACGAGTATACTGCGCGGCAGTCCGTTCTGTTTTAATTTACGGCAGCGAAACATGGCCATTAAGAGTAGAAGACACTCGTAAGCTACTAGTATTTGACCACAGATGCCTCAGAAATACTGCTGGCGTCTGTTGGGATCACCGGGTAAGTAATAGTGAGGTTAGACGCAGGGTATTAAGGAAGGATGGTAAATCAGTCGATGAGGTTGTGAATCTTCGTCGAGTGAGATAGTTGGGCCACGTGTTACGTATGCCCGAACACCGATTACCACGTCGTGCAATGCTAACGGGTGTTAGAGATGGTTGGAAGAGAATTAGGGGCGACCAAATCAAAACGTGGCATCAGTGCTTGAAGACACTAACCTCTAGTCTGAGCCATGTTGGTAGATGCAGACTACTTGGTTGGGGTCCGCGTGACTTTCGTAACCGATGGTTGGAGACTCTTGGTGACATGGCTCAGAATCGATCACAATGGCGTCGGTGTATGCACTTTCTGTCTTCTCTTAAACTAAGAAATTAAAATCAATTCATATCTTTCTACTAACTAATCCTTCCTTCCTGTACTATATCCTTATATGCAATCTTTCTCCTATATATTACCACCTTTGACCTAACCACTCCTATGAATCCGGTGTTCATCTTGCTGTGCTAATGAGGTATGGCAACCTGGACCGATGCATATATGTGCCTGGTCCCACGTTGTAGCTGACTGACTGACGCATACAAGTTAATAGCAAACAGTACAGTCTATGTTTATATTTATATTTTTTGAACCCATTTCAATAGTTGATTGTTGTACTTATCTTGTAATACTAGATGCAAACTACTGGGAATTGCTAAATTTTTGATTATCTTTGGACGGCAAATTCTGACCTGATCACTCATGTTTGATACTAAACCAATTCATTTTGGAACGTGACTTGTTTAGTGACTTCATTTGTCAGAATCAATATTTTTGGTACGTAGTTTATACTTGGAATTATAGAGGAATTATGAAGAAGAAATCTACCTGATGATATTTGTATTAATTAGGTAATACATTGATTGACGAAACGGGGGACCTGGAGAATGATGTTTCAAACTTCTACCTTATGTACTTTGTAATGTTCAATCATTAGTTTAAAAATATGGATATGTAGGTTCTGATCCTATCAGATGCTTCAAAGAAGGTGAAGTAAGATAGAAAAAAATAGTTCGTCATGTTATCAGTGATTCTTCTAAGTGTGAGTAACACGTAATTTCACGATCTGTAAATCATTTACATATTACATTAAACTGTATTTCATAATTTGTGATAAAGTAATTTTTAATTCCTACTCCGTCTGTGTTTGCTACCTTTACTGTCTTTCTGTCAGAAAAATTCAAAGGATCACAAACATTCTGGAACCAAAGATGAACCAGTTGAGCCAGTTCGTGAAATGCCTATTTTTAGTACTGATAAAGATCCGAAAAATGACAGTGGATGTGTCATATCGTAATATGAATTTTTACAAAATTATCTTCGGAATTTCGTTACAATTTTATCCTTTGGTTTAAAAAAAATTTATATTACAGTATGTGTATTCTTTCTATAATTTTTATAGGTTTGACAATCAATATATGTGCTATGGTTACTAAAAATGTGATGATCATTAATTAGCTTTTTATCTTTATTTCTATTCATGATTTATTTTCTTTCTTTTGTTATGTGACGCGTACTCAGTCATGATGTTTTTGTTGAATATATTGTATATAAATAAATCGCCATTAGTTTGTCCTGTTAGAATATTTCTGGGCATTGATCATTTCAGCGTCATATCGATTCTACTCTTTTACATCGTACATTTAATGAATGTAATAACCCCTGAAATTTTTCAAGGTTGATTTAATCGAAAAAAAAATTGAAAATAGTAGCATTACTTAAAGCCACTACATTAATCTTTTCTCAATGAGTAAAAACTGAGAAACAGACCATTTCAAAAAACGTCTAGTGATAGGTTTATATAAATTTTCTTGTTTAATATAATTTTTAGGAAACAAGTTTCTTTGAAAATTATCTTAAGACATTGTGTAATACAAATCGTATTTAAAACATAAAATATTTCGTAAATAACTACAGCGATACTCGATGCTTTTCGAGATTGACAAAACTAAATAAGTTTGTCTTAAAGAATACTGTTAGATTGAAACAAATTTAAGTAAAATATCTAGTCTAAAATGTGTTTTTTTGTCACACTTCATCAAAGTAAGATCAAAAAGAAGAGCGGAACAATGTTGAACCTAACATAAATATTTACTTATGCGAATTATCACTCTTGATACGCATGCAGTAAAGGGACATTAAGTAGTTAAAAACAAGATCTGAATGATGCTGAAAGGAAGTAATGGTTATTACGATGACAGAAAGTGAATTCAAGTCAAAATAACTAACTTTTGAGGACTAAACAAGTTGCTTACGTTTGCCAACATAGCACAGACATATGCATATCGCCTTTATGTAGCAATAATATATCTCAACGTCATTTTGACTTTTTTCGACTTTCTAGACGCTAGTCATTTTTGCTCACTGACGGCCATAAGTAGTTGACGCATCTCTTAACCACTTTAGTTGATCAAAGTTAACTATCGTGCTAATCTGTTTTCTACTTTTACATGGGACCATCATTACTCAATCGATTGTTCCAACACACGTTAGCAATACTTCGAAAACGTTGCGACTCACATGTCCTCTGCTTCCAGAATGTGTTTTTCACTCATGTTAGTTATACTAATTGGATTTCTTTTCAGCAGAAAAATAAGCATTCAGCCAGCGTCACGGATGACACAAGTTCAATAAACCTAGACGGACTTTCCATACTTGTGCTGAATTATTGTAAGTCACTAATTTAAGACTTTCGAGAGTCAGAGACACAGTCAACGTACTCAACTACTTTACTTCTGACTGTCATACTGGTTGACAGTGCAACAGTTTACATTTGATGGCAATCAGCGTATCTCATAGTCTCAGAAGGGATACTGAACTATTGTTACTACAAAGGATATCGTCTTCCACAACTCTACGCCTTTTAAGAAGAGATGGATGGCGGCGAGCAGTGGAATCTGGGAGGCATGCTTCGTCTGATTTGGGACTTGTCAGTTGGTTGTACCTGCATCCTAGTGTTATTTCCACCCCAGAACTTAAAGCCAGTACTTTCGCTTTAAACCCCGTCGCGTTATCCACTTAGCTACTTAGTCCAGATGGCTACTGGCTTGTGCAACGAGATGAATTTTAACCCAAACAGCAATATACATGAGTCAGGGTCACTATACGCCTTGTTTTCTTCATGCAACTTAATCATTTCCAACTAGCTTTTTTTGTGATTGAATACTCTCATAACATTTTTGCAAGGCATTAATTTTTCATAATACTTTGCAGTATCTACACACACTATTGTCATGTTGCGCAATTTCTATTTATTATGTCCTCAGTACGTCGAAAAATTGAAAATACTGGGTTCAGTAATTTATATATCAGATATACTAGATAAAGATATACAGTCACTGCTATCAGATGTCACTTCAGGTGAATGTATATAATAATCCGTATTTTGGTAGTATTTGGATTCGTCTTTCAATTGAAACTTGCTTGTCTTCCGTGTTCTGTGATCTGCGTAATCTTCATTATATATTTTTTGTTCTCTAAATCATTGAAATGGAAATGAATGGTGTTAGCTCACGAACTGATTGAATTCTCTTTACATTATCCAAATTGATGACATTATGAACTTTTATCTAGTTTCTGTTGATTACGTAACAACCGCTACGACATGTTCCCGTTTTTTATTTAAAAATTTGCTTGACCTAAAAAACCTGTCACTTACTTTCTTAAAATCGTATGACTCCTCAAATAATAGACAGCATTTATAGACACGATTCTGCTTTCATGACGTAACCCTCAACATTTTCGTGTTAAGCAAGCAGTTGGTTTTTGTAAATATGATATGTTTGAAAAATGCACTACCATGTCGTATACGAAAGTTTTTTTTATCCTTCCTGAGTATTTTCGTGAAAACTATCCGCAGTATCGAGTCATTATGTGTCTACAACTCTCCAAACTATACCGGTGTATTAAAAGTTCGAATTTCGAAATATCTTCAGAAACTCAACCAAAAGCTACATGGTTCCACATTCTTCTAGGTTTCAATCTTCAGGTTTTCTATCAAACCTTTATTCAAAAGAGTTAAACAATGACCTTTGAATATTTCTGAACTTAGCCCGTTCCGTACCCTATTTTAAATACTCCATGTTTATTGAGGCAAATATAAGCTATAAGAAACTTCAGATGTTATTCAAAGTATCACACCAACATTCTTCGTGGATTACCCGTTAGAAATCTACCTTATAGAGTTCAGAACATAAAATTTTCGGTGGTTGTGAGCTTCATGATTGATCCAGTATCATTTTCTCCACAAGTTAAAATAACTCATCGTACCTGTATATATAAAGAATCACTTAAAAATCAAATATCAAACTGGATGGTCTGAAAACACTTGCTTTTTTGTGTTTGTCTCTTACCTTTCTTAAACTACCAATAAATTGTAAACATACCGTGAATTATTTATCAACCTTGGTACAGACCGGATATTAGGTTTTCTCGCAGCAATCGAAAGAGGTGTTCGAAACTTCATGTGAATAGAGAGTTCTGATCCTGTACTAGACAACTTTAGAAAAGTTCAAGAAGACAAACTCTCAATAGTACCATGTACTTATTAAGTCCATGTGCTGGCTGTTTCTTATTTTGTGTTGGGACTCCATTACTGCGCAGTATATTTCCACACAACATGAATTCGTCTCGATTGCCTGAAAGTTTCACTTAGTTGCTACAGAAACACTAACTGCTTTCTTGTAAAGACTTGAGTTTATTCCTTAGAGTCACAACAGCGTGTTCTAAATCGTTGCGAGATGACGCAGGTAAACGATCAAAGTTGCTTGATTCATCAGCCATAGAATTTTCAACTTTCGAAAAGATCCTGAAGGCTCGTCATTTAAAAGGTTCATACCTATCTAAACGTTCAGTCATGGAAAGAGGAAACTCTTTCACTTTTTCCGAAAACGCATTTAAATACTAAACGGTTTACCATAAGACAGTACACATACATTTTGTTTATCGATAATAATGTTCTTTCCACAAGATAGATTTTTTACTGATTCTGAAGTAGTTTTAAGTGAGTTGCCGTTTAGGTTCGCAAATGCAATTATTTTTTCTGACATACTTATCTGAAAACGGCATAACAATTTTTTGTCAACATACCAAGCCTACCTTGTTCATTAAGTAATCCGTGGTCTCGCTTATGTCGCTTAGTAAATTGCTGATGATTACGTCTGCAGATAACAAGAGGATTTTACCTTAATTTTAATTCATCATTATGTTCATCGTCTTTATCAATAATCAAGCTTGTGTCTTCACGATCAGAGTGTTTCCAAATATTACGAAGCGAAGTCCAGAATGATGAGTTCTTGAGAAATCGTTTTGTTCATTTTAGAGCATAAAGCTTACATATTCTGAATGACTTTGACTCGACTGGTCTTCGAATTCATCTTTACATTGATGGATGTTGCTATTATTTTGAACACTAAAACTTATATCCTGTGAACTCTGGTTGTTTTGAATGCCATCTAAATTAGAACTGATACAGCAGTAGCTTGCGTTAAACGTAAAATTACTCGAATAACTTGCGTTGGATACCGATTCGCGGAATCTTAAACGACATCCCCCTTGGTTGATTTTACGACTCACTTAATTATATCCAGATAGTGTAGAAAAACAATATTGGAACAAAAATTCCTGATGTCGAAGTCTAGAAATGAAATTCCTTTCAAAGTGGATCATCTAGTTATCAAAAGCACGATAATAAAGTGAGAAAACAACATTTGGTCAGTCAGAGAATAAACTTTCCGTTCTTTGGAATCATTGCCTAAGTTTTATGATAGGATGTGCATTGATGAGAAAATTTGGCTGTTGCTATATACCTTCTAAAGCTGACAGCCTTAAACAGTTACTTGTTAACGGTAGATGTGATCGTGGAGTAACAGTTGGAAAGTGCACTCTCTGGAGCTATGAAACTAAAGCAAGCGCGCAACCTCGTGTTAGAAGTCTTCGTATGAAAAGGAGCTCCGTGGTTTCATCCCCTTTTTTTCAATTAAAGATATCGAGGGTATTTTGGTCCAGGCTCCCTCGTCTTTTGTTCTAAATAAATATACTTTTAGTAACAATCAACTGTAGTCTATTGTGATGTTGAAAAAATACTCTGTCGCGTGTCCACCTTACTTTATTCCATTAGTGTTGATGCGTTAGACAATAAATAAATACGATAGACAAATATTCAATAGCAACAACAATATGCAAGACGCTAGACAGAGTACTTGACATTGCCATTGTAGCTGTAAATGAATCCCCAAAGTCAATAACCCTGTATGGCTTCGACATTTGGTGCTGACCATATTAGTTTTAATGGACTCAAGTGACTGAAGGTGCTCGGTTACGCATCCGCACTAGGTCATGAGTGTGAAGGCTTTGCTCAACTCCTGCAGCCGCTAGACAGTTTAGATTAGTCGATATATTGATAAACTATCAAATATATCTTCGAACCTCCTCTCTTCTGACTTTTGATTTCATTGCTTAGTCATGATAAAATTATTGAAGGTTTTGCTGATGAAAGTGTTGTAAAACAACAAATACCTGTAGAATCTTCACCATCTCCAAACAAAATGAGTGTTCAGTAGCTGGAGCGTTCAGTTCTAACCCGAACGACTAAAGCTCACACTTTGGATACTGCAGGTACACTGACTAAGTACCAGAATGTTATCAAGGTAATGGAAGGCTCACGATTGATTCTTTGTGAACACAAAAGTCACGTCTGAGACCTTTTTTTGCTTTGACTTCGCTACTCTTGATGGGAATGAGTTGGACATTTTATTGATCATTTTGAAGGCATTTACGTTGGTGTTACGTACCTTTCTGACGTGTGATGCTTTTTTATGCTTCAAGGGTTATATTGTTCACAAAAGCAAAATTTCCAGATAATTTGCGCAATAAAACTGGTGGTAACTTGACTTTCAAACATTCTGACATATAAGCGAAAGCATGCAGTTCATTATGTATAAATTACATTTCTGTGTTAGTGTTGTCAGTTTGTTTGAGAAGCGTATGTATCCTTTTTTTCTTGATCATGTTCAGTTTATTTGGTTAATGTCTTATGCTTTACTTGTGATAGTATAGGGTGAGGAAGACATGTGATTTTCGGTTTTCAGCATTATAACTGACGGTAGTTAACTATGTACCAGTGATATATATTATGTGTTAAAAATGCAGTACAGAAATTTTCTTATATAAATAAATTCATTAATTGTATTCTTCGAAAATTTCCCATTAAGTCACCCTGTGACAATATCTTGACCTGTGTTCTTACGTTCTCCTCGCTTTTGTGTGCTTGTCAGGTGGGGGTATAAACCTATAATTCTAGGTTGCGTTTAAAGTTAGAAAAGCGTTCTGCCTGGTCAAACATAAAAACTTTGTTTCCACAGACGGACTGATATAAAAAGTTCATAGAACTTCACAAACCAGTAGACAAGTCATTCTGTACACCAACGCAAAATCGGACATACAAGCCAGAATTAATGTGAACAAATAACTACATGTGCCATTATTGGGGAGAAAATCAAACTATGTATTGTAACAAAAAATAGAATGAAGTGAAGATGGTAACAAATAGAAATCTGTTGAATAGTCTGTTTACAGTACCCGACCGTTGTATAATGGATATTTTCGCTATAGAAAGTTTAAGAAGCAAAGGACAGGATCTAACTAAGAACTTCTAGTCCAATTTCCAGAAAGACGAAGAGTTACCAAGCAATTGGTTAGATTTTTAAACGTTTCATGTGATCAAACGGTGTGTTTGAAAGAAAATTATGACTGACCAGCAACTACAGTACTGAATATGAATGAGGACAGTTGTAACACTCAATAGTTTCTTACTGTGGTGTTTGAATTAACTAATGATTCTTTTGTACTTGTTGAATGCTTGATTTCGGATTCTAAATACAATACATTCGTTTGTGCCTGTGTCTTCTTAATTCAATTGCGTTAATCCTGGAATTCCTAGTTCATACGATAATTCGAATACTATACTTACCCAAATAAAGCTTCAACGTTACCGATACCTAAACGTGGAAACCCGACCGTCCGACATAGGCTAGGCAAGCTCCTCACAACTAGTTTTGACACGCTTCAGTAACAGAAATGTTGCCAGGAATGTTAGAGGTCATCGATTAAAAGACCGTTAACGAAAGCCTGTTTAGACAGCCCCTTCTTTTAGACCCCCAAACAGGTGCGGATGGTTCTTATTTTACTGTATTATAACGCCTACGACAAGCTGGATAAATGTGCCGATCGGATACCGATTATCCTGAAGGCCTCGGAGATGGAGGTTTTTAGTGACAAAGAAAAGCCCCAAATGATATTGGATGAAATTATAGATTGGTATTATACTCCCACCTGTTCATAATAATCACAAGCGCTAACAAACACCTCGAAGGACTTCGTCACCGAAATGAGCTGTCTCTAGACCACTAAAGGCAGATAACCCTGATTGGTGTTGCTACTCCAATAAGTGTAGTACGGCGCTTAGATACTCCAAAAAGAGATCGTAACTTGCCGATTTAGACATTGCCGGACAGGAAGACCCGATCGGCACGCGTTATCACAATCCGTAGCTGGGTGACGTGGCCGTCTGTTATTAATCACTGATGTGATGACGAATTTTCACTATTTCATCGGCCATACGGGTTGAACATGTTTTTTCTAGTACCTTGTTGCATACGCTACTACAATATCCCCTTAAGAATAAGTATTTGAAAATACATCTAGGTGAAACGAAAATCTAAAAAAATTCAGCCTCAGAATAAAATTAATAATCTCAGGTGAGGTTTATCAAGGGAGTAAGTGGGTAAAAAATCCACTACATCAACAATAAATAATAACAACGGTAAGCATTTAAATGAAAGGCGTCAAACAGTGTGATATTCATGCTTATGGATTAATGAGCTTCCTTCCCTATCGACTATCTGTGAGTGGTGTGTGGTAATGCGAACAACACTGCTACTGGTTGGCGTTAAAAATAAATAAAATGAGAATGAACAATTTTCCTATTACCAGCTCATGAGTCTCACTATTTCTCCAGCGTTTTTCTTACTACATCTGTTTTCGGTTCAATATTCTGGTTCCCGTGCAAAGGAATTGTAGTGCCTTCAAGAGACTGCTTCACAGGATAACCCAAACATAGATTGTGGCTGACTTTAATTGTTTTTTCAGAAAAGAGAATGTTTCGGGGCTGTTTTCCATGATCTCATTGAGTCCTCAAGTGATATGATGTATAAGTCTAGATTTAAAAAGCTGTTGATGATTGGAGCTTCTTTATAAAGTTCTCAGTTTACTATTCTAAATAATTTCTGACGTGGTATTTACATAGATTACTAAGCGTCCGAAGAAATTAAGGGAATTATCAATCCAGCATCTTGTAATCGGTTTTTCAAGATTAAAGATCGTTTGGTATGATAATCTACTTTAGTCAGCTTTCAGTGTTATTTCAGTGAATAAATTATCATCAAATCTCAGGCTTAATTACTTATGTGTGAATGAAGCTAATAAATCACCATTTAAAACAGTGATAAACGTCATCATTCTCAGCACTTTTAACAAAAAATTCTGAATTTATTCATGATTCACGACATCTAACACTTCATGCCAACCCACAAGATTCCCGAAAACAATATATCAAACCTAGGTAATGATTGTCGACACTATTGGAAACAATAAGAATTTCACTTTTAGTGTATCACTTAACTTTATTCACCCTAGATTACTGAATAAAATCGTTCTCTCTTTGATTTTTAGTTGTCGTTTTTACTAAAATCAAGCTGGCGTATTCGTTATCGGACCTAATTGATAGAGGCTGTTCGGTGTTAGTTACTAATCGTAACTAGCCAGTTCTATAAATAAACATACAATTCCGATAATGAAAGATTTCAAACAGTTCATGATAACTGCCTTTCATTTTTCTACAGTGTGATTGTAATGAACGCCAATAATAATCCCTAAAAAGCCAGATGAGTAAACTCAAACTTCTAGGTCTTCACAGAAATATGTGTTCATAAAATTTTGAACTGTAGACACAGGTGCGAAACTTTCGTATACCTGCTAAACATTCTAGTTTACATCAATAACAATTGAACAGACACATGAAAACCACGGAAGTGAAAATGGCAAATGTAGGCTTATTGAATTTAAACTTTAATGACCCCTCAGAAATTGCGGAAGTGCGATGCCTTGGTGCGATTTGGCTAAAATGATAAACTGTGAAACTTTAGCTATAGTGCTGACAGTAGAGAAATCCTCAAGACATTGAAAAAGCCTTTCAAGAAGAGAAACAAGGGTTGACAAGCGGCAAACTTGAGCACTGATACAAGTCCAAAATAGGCAATACGAAGTACCAAGTAAACACAAACACTCTTTTGACTGCCCAAGAAGTCTAAGCTGGCAGATGATGAATAAAGCCAGATACGTTCAGAAGCGCGAAGTTCACAAAAGTAGTGAAATATAAGCGACACAGGAAAAATTACCTACCACAGTGTTTCTCTGAACTGTCCACTGTGCAATATTCTGGTCACGAATGAACCTGTTTTCAAGTCACAGATAAGTTATTGACTTTCAACCACATGATCCTTGAAGCCGAGAGCACGTTAACTGTAAATATTTACACCCAACATTTAGCACTTAGAGAAGGTCAGAAATGGTGAGCACGGAGGACTTAATCGATATGGAATGGCTGTGCTATGCAAGTGTGGTCAGCACTAAGTAAGCACTTGCTATTCATGTTAGATATGTTATCCTCTCCTGAGTCCATATGTATTCTTCAGAGGACCCTAGCAACAGCCACTTACTGTCACGATAGTGGGAGAACGTATAAATAATGACGTGGCTTCCTAGAAAGATTTAGTAAACCACCCGGTCACATTATGTTAAATCCATAATTATGAAGTAGTTCTATTGGTAATGTACCATAGA